GAGGAGGTGACACGGACGTGAGAGGAGGTGACACGGACGTGAGAGGAGGTGACACGGACGTGAGAGGAGGTGACACGGACGTGAGAGGAGGTGACACGGACGTGAGAGGAGGTGACACAGACGTGAGAGGAGGTGACACGGACGTGAGAGGTGACACAGACGTGAGAGGAGGTGACACGGACGTGAGAGGAGGTGACACGGACGTGAGAGGAGGTGACACGGACGTGAGAGGTGACACAGACGTGAGAGGAGGTGACACAGACGTGAGAGGAGGTGACGCAGACGTGAGAGGTGATGACACAGACGTGAGAGGAGGTGACACAGACGTGAGAGGAGGTGACACAGACGAGAGAGGAGGTGACACAGACGTGAGAGGAGGTGACACAGACGTGAGAGGACGTGACACAGACGTGAGGTGAAGACCGAGATGAGGTGAGGAGGCATTGACAATCAGAGGGACTCACGTCACTTAGATATCCTGATAACTACCAATGAACCAGCCTGTCACGTGACTAAGATATCCTGATATATACCACTAACCCTGTGGTATAAGTAAATACCAAAACTAGCCAGTCGTGATCCCACGCTAGCCAAACAAATCTATGCCTACGAAGGCCCTATCTATGCACCCACTTACGCACACCTACGGAGGCGCCATCTATGAGCGGCGGCGGCAGTCTTACCTCGGACGTGAACATGGTGGAGCAGGTGCCAATGCACCAGGCGACGAGCGGCTTGGTGATGCGTCCGCTACGCATCGCCTCACAGATCGTGTACTCGTCCGTGCCGCCAATCTAAAAACAAGAGAACGCGCAGTCAGACGAGCGCACGGGGACGACAAGCAAACGAGCGGTCAGATGCACACGTGAAAAATAAGCGAATGCGATGAGAGAGCTACCCTAATTATTAGCTAGAAGATCTATGCCAGCTACCAACTAAACCAGTTACGCCAGTAATAAACTACACCAGCTACCTTAATTATCAGCTACATCAGCCACCCTAATTATCGATAACAGATACACTAATCATATACATCATCATATATAATAATAATTAATATATATAATATAATGATATAATATATATATATAGTAATTATATAATATAATAATATATTAATTATAATATAATATATAATGCACAGCGCACACACACACGGCACCTCTCCCAGCAGGACCAACATCTTGACTTGGGGCTTCCTGATATCATCAGCATGTGGTCGATGAAAGACAGACCGCCGGGTAGCGGTCGCCTCCGATCCGCACACCCGTCGAGACGCCGTCCGTCGTCCGAGCAACGATGTTTTTAACTCGTTAGACATGGCCCCCCGACTCGATACGTACGCCACGCTGCAACACAGACGTTACGTACATGACATGCCCCCCGACTCGACACGTACGCCACGCTGCAACACAGACGTTACGTACATGACATGCCCCGCGACTCTCGATAGCGTACGCCACGGCTGCAACACAGACCTTACGTACACTGACATGCCCGCCACCTCGGACACGTACGCCCACGCTGCATACACAGACGTTACGTACATGACATGCCCCCCGACCTCGATACTACGCCACGCTGCAACACACACGTTACGTAGATTGACATGCCCCCGACCTCGACACGTACGCCGCGCTGCAACACAGACGTTACGTACATGACATGCCCCCGACCTCGACACGTACGCCGCTCTGCAACACAGACGTTACGTACATGACATGCCCCGACCTCGATACGATACGTCGCACGCTGCAACACCAGACGTTACGTACATGACATGCCCCCCCGACTCTCGATACGTACGCCATGCTGCAACACAGACGTTACGTACATGACATGCTCCCCGACCTCGAACGTACGCCGCGCTGAACACAGACGTTACGTACATGACATGCCCCCCGACCCTCGATACGTACGCCACGCTGCAACACAAGACGTTACGTACATGACATGCCCCTCCCACCTCGATACGTACGCCCGCTGCAACACAGACGTTTACGTACATGACATGCCCCCCGACCCTCGATACGTACACAGACGTTACGTACATGACTGCCCCCGACCTCGAACATACGCCACCTGCAACACAGACGTTACGTACATGACATGCCCCGACCTCGATACGTACGCCGCGCTGCAACACAGACGTTACGTACATGACATGGCCCCCGACTCGATACGTACGCCACGCTGCAACACGACGTTAGTACATGACATGCCCCCGACCTCGACACGTACGCCAGCGCTGCAACACAGACGTTACGTACATGACATGCCCCCGACCTCGATACGTACGCCACGCTGCAACACAAGACGTTACGTACATACACTGCCCCCCGGACCTCTGGACACGTACGCCGCGCTGCAACACAGACGTTACGTACATGACATCTGCCCCGACCTCGACACGTACGCCACGCTGCAACACAGACGTTACGTACATGACATGCCCCCGACCTCGATACGTACGCCATGCTGCAACACAGACGTTACGTACATGACATGCCCCCGCGACCCTCGATACGTAGCCACGCTTGCAACACAGACGTTACGTACATGACATCCGCCCCGACCTCGATACGTACGCCATGCTGCAACACAGACGTTACGCTACAT